TAGTAATGATGAGTTTCTTTAGTAATAAAGAGTTTCTTTAGTAATGATGAGTTTCTTTAGTAATGATGAGTTTCTTTAGTAATGAAGAGTTTCTTTAGTAATGATGAGTTTCTTTAGTAATGACAAGTTTCTTTAGTAATGATGAGTTTCTTTAGTAATGATGAGTTTCTTTAGTAATGATGAGTTTCTTTAGTAATGAAGAGTTTCTTTAGTAATGATGAGTTTCTTTAGTAATGATGAGTTTCTTTAGTAATGATGAGTTTCTTTAGTAATGATGAGTTTCTTTAGTAGTGATGACTTCTTTAGTAATGATGAGTTTCTTTAGTGATGATGAGTTTTGATTAAATGTGCTTAAAGTTAACACGCATAAAAAAACTTAGTTTAAAAAATTTTAGAGCTTCAAAAAAAAAACATTTTTTAAAATGCAACAGTCTAAAGCTACACACACACAAAAAAAGCAGATAAAGATGACTTTTTTATTTTATGTAGAAATCAGGAGCCAAGCTAAACAATTAAATTATGTGGAGCAAATAGATAAATTAAAAATGCAAAAAAAAGAAAACGAAAAAAGGCTAATAACTTTTTTCATCAAAACAGACTAATCTCTGTTTATAAAGCATGTATCTGTGAAAACAGATTAATCTCTGTTCATAAAGCATGTGTGAGTAGCAAATGCCTATTTAAAGATTTGGTGTCAGGTAAGTAATGTAAATATCATATTTAATCATATCATTTCATGACATTATATAATATCATATTTAATATCATAATCAATAATATCATTTTTAAAACAAACCATATTTAATTAGATTAGTATTAAAAATGTCAACAAGCTAAAGTTTTATTTGAACTTTTTTTTTTTTATATATATATAAGAACTAAGTTCCTTTAATAAAATCTAATCCTGTTTAACTGGATTTTGTTTCTTTAAATTTTATGGAAATAAAAATATATATGGCAATGCAACAGCTGTTAAAAGACAAAGACTATATGAATCAGTTTTTTTGAATGTTCAACATCTTTAAGTGTAAGTACTTCAAGTCATCAGAGGTTTCAGAAGTCCCTTTTACTGCTGTGGCTGACTTAGTAGGATAAGCCCACCAACTTCTGTTCAGTGGTATCAGTATTTTAGAGATTTCTGCTTGTTTAAAGCTTTTTTATTCACTAGATTCTAATTTGCAGCTGGAATTTAGAATCCAGTAAAGAATTTGGGTAAGAAAAAGTTAGGTAAAGATAAAAAGTAAGATAAAGAACATTTTTCTTAAAAAGTATTAATACATTGTAATTGTTAATTTGATATGTTAACACCTTTAAACAACTTTTTTTGGTATAATTTAATTCATTTTTTGTAAATTTTTTATTTTGTCACAAAATATTCCTTAAGTAAACATATTGAAAATAGTAAATGAGGTTTTCCTATACTTTTCTTAATTAGTAGTATTAGTAGTATAGGTGTATATGTTTTGATATTTGTAATTGTTTAAATTCGGTTTGTAATTGAAGTTGTAAATGTTAAAATTGGTTTTCTAAAGTTTTCTTTTCCCTTCAAGGTAGTCATTTTGGATTTTGTTGTAAAAACAAATTCGGCGCAGTTTCACCATTCTGTAAAACACAAAAATCTTCATTATTTACAGAGTTTTGAGTGCGCTATTTTAGAGTCCACTGAAAATGCTGAACAGAACATTAAGGATTGAAGTTCTAAAAACAAAGATCTCAAAATGCAATGTAACTTATTAACTTCTCATTTATAACAAGTAAATAGCTAAAACAGGCTCAAACAGGAGGAGCAGTTCTAATGTTGTTGTTTTTTTAAACTTAAAAACAGCACAACGTAAATTTGCATCTGCTTGTGCCAAAAATGCTAGATTGCTGAAAAAAATAAAATATATATATATATATATATATATATATATATATATATATATATATATATATATATATATATATATATATATAGCAAAATTTTATGATATGAAACAAGATAGTTGCAAAATTTGCAAAGATCTTGTTAGCAGTTTTAAAGAATTGCAGCTGATTCTATATTAAACTATGACAATATTGGTTCTTTTGTTGCGTGGATGTTGCTGAACTGTTGCGTGGATGTAAGTGTATTAAACCCTATACTAAATCATTTGATAACCCATTAGTTAAACAATATATTTATATTAACTTAAGTTGTAATAAACCTTATTCTAATTTTAGTAGGTGTAGTACAACTAGACTATCTAGAGTTGCCTTTATATTCCTTCAATTGTTAGCTGGTTTTCAAAGTGATGTTGTTTTGCGATGTACTGTCTCATGAAAATTCAATATTTTGTTGTATTGCAAATAAGTTTTTGTTGTGCAGTTAAATGTTTTTGAAGCTGTAGAGCTTCAGAGTTAATTAAGGATACCCAAAGCTGAATTCTTAAGGCTAGAACATATTTTGTGTAATATTAGTGCAAAGAAGTTACTTTATCAATCTGAGAATGAAGTACCTTGTTCCTGTGTTAATGGTTAAAACTATACAACTTATATTGAAGAAGTTTTTAACAACCTTCAAAATCGGGACCATCTTAACTCTTATGTAGGTTTTGGTGAATAGGTATGGCTCCTTTTTGCTAAGGATAAGGGTGGCAACTAAATGAAATTCCATTTTGAAATTGTTAGTTTGTAAATTATAACATAGCAATTTTTTCTAATTCAGAAAAAAAAAAAAATTTTCTGAAGTACAAAACATTTCCCAAAACCTCCTATAAAAAAACCCTGTAATAAAACAAAAAACCTGTGCAAGCATTAGTTGTTTAATTATAAAGATTTAATTATTACTGATTGGGTGCTAACTTCAAACTGCTAAGGTTAGGATGTGTGTTTTGTGTTGTGAACAAAATACTGATTGGGTGCTAACTTTAAGCTGCTAAGGTTAGGATGTGTGTTTTGTTTTGAACAAAATACTGATTGGGTGCTAACTTCAAACTGCTAAGGTTAGGATGTGTGTTTTGTGTTGTGAACAAAATACTGATTGGGTACTAACTTCAAGCTGCTAAGGTTAGGATGTGTGTTTTGTGTTGTGAACAAAATACTGATTGGGTGCTAACTTTAAGCTGCTAAGGTTAGGATGTGTGTTTTGTGTTTTGAACAAAATACTGATTGGGTGCTAACTTCAAGCTGCTAAGGTTAGGATGTGTTTTGTGTTGTGAACAAAATACTGATTGGGTGCTAACTTCAAGCTGCTAAGGTTAGGATGTGTGTTTTGTGTTGTGAACAAAATACTGATTGGGTGCTAAGCAAATAATTAATTACATTAAGGTATGTTTTATTTAGGTACCTATTAATGTACCTATTTAATTATGTTGAGGTTTTATTTAGGTACTTTAAATCAAGCCATTAACAGTAATAAAAAATACATTTGTTAGTTAACAGCTAATGATGGATTTAAACTGTTTGCTATTGAAAGTAATGTAATGAAACTTTTGCACAAAATTTTTGAAAGAAAAAAAAAAGATCAACACAATTAAATAGCTTTTAATTTAAATTGCTTCCAAGAAGTAAAGTTTAGCATAACTTTAGATTAGAATAGATACATGGAAGTTAAATTTTGTGATAAAAAATGAGATTAAAGTTTTTTTTGATGTTGTAATTTCTTAAAAACAGTTAATCAATGTCTATCCATAAAATATTAGTCTAAATAAAAAACAAGGAATTAGTTTTAAAAAAGAAGTATATTCAACATATTATTGTTATTTAATTTTCCTTGATTACAACATATATCACTTTTATGTTTACAAAAAATGTGAAGAGGGAAGCATTAAAGAAGTTAAAAGTAAAAATATTTCAAAAACAAAAGCTTTTGCTAGGCATCACATAAACCAACCCTACCTTCATGTTTTTATAAAAAAAAAATTTTTTTGACAAACTCTAGTCTACATGTTGGAGTGTGACTCACTTTATAAAAAAATCTGATGCTGAAAACTTAAGCCATTCCTGTCATTAAAAAAATGACTTCTTTGATGAAGGTACCAATTTTAAAGTAATCAGCATTGAGAATAAAAAATATCAACTACCATGATTTAATTTAAAAAGTACATAAAACTGTTAACTGTTCGAAATCATGTATTAAATCAAAAATTGAGAATCTTTTTGGATAAGAAATTAAGCTTTATCTTAATATAAAAACATGCTAAAAACTCAACCTTAACAATATTTGATAAAAGCAGAAAGTTTTGGAAGATTTAGATTATATAGATTTCATTTTTTTTTCAATATTTAATAGAAGCAATGAAGATTGTAAAACTAGTTTCCGAGAATCTGAGCAGATAAAACAATGATGGCCACTTACATGATATTAGCAATAAATTGATTGATAAGTTGAAGATTTAAATCAATAAATATTGGAATGCAGATGTGATGAATTTATCAGGTTAATTAACTATTTTCAAAAACACAGACCAATGTACAGATAACATAAAGAAGAGCGTTAGCTTTCAGCGATAACTTTTGTAGCTGTTTTTTAATCTTTATTTAAAATACAGTGTAGAACAAACATGTCAACAAAAACGTGAGCTTTCATTCAAAAGTTTCATTAAATAAATAGAACTAACTTTAACTAGCACCAATAAACTACTAGTATTTATTTAAACGTAAAAAGTCAAATGTCAGTCATAAAAAAGCATCTGTCAATCTAAAAAACTGAAAAATAAAGCTATATTAGTTTTGGTGCTCTGTGTCTATTTTTGAAATAGTGTGTGTGTATTCGTGAGTTGGTTTGTGTGTGTGTGTGTGTATTTGTGAGTTGGTTTGTGTGTGTGTATTGGTAGTTGGTTTTTGTGTGTGTATTTTTGAGTTGGTGTATCTATTTGTGTGATTGTACGTGTGTGTATTTGTGAGTTTGGGTGTGTGTATATTTGTGAGTCTGGATTTGTAAACATTTGTGTGCCTGGGTGTATTCTAAATAAAATACTTAATTAAAAAACTTAACAACATATTTAGAACAACAAAAACAGCAGAATAACAAAAACAACCTTTCTGTTAGCCAAAGAAAATATTTTCAAACAATGCATACATTTTTCTACATCTTTATCATCTATACAGTAGTTTGCTATCCTAGAATGTAGTGTAATTTCCAAAGCATTTTTTTGCTCCCAAAGTTCTTCTTTATCTCTAATAAGTTAAAAATTAAAAATATTATTCTTTAATGTCTGATTATCATTTAAATGACTATCAAATCCAACAGGATCATCTAAAACATTTATGTAACTTAATAAATATGTAACTATGTTACAACATAAGAAAACAGCTAAAATTAAAAATAAAGATAAATTTAAAAAAATCTAAAACAAAAACATAAAAAATTTAGTTTATGATCAAAATTTTTTAAATAATAAAATCAAAATTTTTAAATAATAAAATCAATAATAGTTAAATAATAAAATATTCAGATTTTTTGTTTTACAATTTTTTGTTTTAAAAAAATCTGAATATTTTATTATTTAACAATTTTTTTCCTTTACAAGTGAACAAAAGTATACAGCTCTTTTTTATTAGTTAGCAAAAGTATGCAAATTGTTGTAAGGAATGCTTTAATAAAACAAATGAAAAATAAGGTTTATAAAAACTGTCAATCAAACTTTTAAATCGCAAAAAAAAATGTTGGAAACTAAATATAATCATTACTCTTGGTACCTGATCCAGCAGTCTAACAAAATTTTAAAATTAAAGAGAGCCATCCACAAATTATTTTTTTGCAAAATAAATAATTATAAAAAAATAAATAATTATAAAAAAATAAATAATTATAAAAAAATAAATAATTATAAAAAAATAAATTATAACAAAAATTCTGGTACTTTTAAAAACTTAAATAAATATTTTAAATATTAAAATATAATCAAAAATAAAAAAAATAAAAATTTATTTTAACATAATAAAATTAAAAAAAAAAGTTACTTAGCAAGTTTTATAAGTTGATCTTTCATATCATCAGTGTCACTTTTAATTTGTTGTATTATTTCTTCATGCTTATGTTCACTAATTGATTTTTCTATATTCAATCTATCAAAGTCTTCTTTAGTTTTTTGATATAATTCACAAACATCTTCTTTTTCTTTAAAGCAGTTTTTTAATTCTAATTTAAGATTATCAATTTCTGACTTCATTTCTAAAATCTTAAAAAAAATAACATTTATAAAGCTATTTACAAGAAAAACTATATCTATGTGCAGTGTTGTTAGGCAAAATATTTACAAAGAATAATAACCAAAAAAGCACACACACATTGTGACATTATAAAAACCTATGTCACTAACCATATTTGTATTTTATAAATGACTCTATTTATATAAAATGTTATGGCTTGTGATAAAGGTTAATATCGGTACAATACTGCAGTATAATAAAGTATAATACATAATACGGTAGATAATGAAGATTTGTGTATAGGTATTTCTATATCTGTGTATGATTTTTTCACAATCAAAAATCTTTGTTTAGCAAACTAAACAAAGATTTTTGATTGTGGACAAACACTTAAAAAATCCAACTTTATCAAATAGAAAGTTGGCGAAATCATTAAAAATATCAAGAAGAACTGTAGATACTGTTCTTAAACAGTTTACAGAACAGAAAACTTTTCAGAGAAAACAAGGAAGTGGTCGAAAAAAATGCACAGCAAATCCTAGAGCTCTCGAGCGGTTGGAGACTTCATTGGAAGAACATCCTGATTGGTCTGATAGAATTCGAGCAAAAAAACTGAAGGTTTCTAATTTTTTTATACACAAATGGCGACAGAGACTTGGATATCAAAGTTTTAAAAAAGTTAAAATGCCTAATCGCAACGATAAACAAAATTCAACCGCAAAGAGTCGAGCTCGAAAGTTGTATGACAACTTGTTAACAAAACATAATGGATACATTTTGATGGATGACGAAACTTATGTTAAAATGGATTTTAAACAAATTCCTGGGCAGTGCTACTATGCTTCTAAAATAGGAGGAAATGTGAGTGATAAATACAAGTATGTAATGACTGATAAATTTTTGAAAAAATTGATGATTTGGCAGGCACTTTGCTCTTGCGGCAAAAAATCAATTCATGTTTGTTTAGGCACAATGAAATCTTCGGAATATGTGAAATGTTGTCTTTCTCATATAAAACGACTAATTAAAGCTCATAGAAATACTTCAGTATTGTTTTGGCCTGATTTAGCTACAATACATTACTCAAAAGATGCTCAAAAGTTTTACGATGATAATGGAGTAATGTTGGTTCCGAAAAAGATGAATCCTCTAAACTGCCCCGAATTACGCCCTATTGAAAAATATTGGGCCATCATAAAAAAGAAATTGAAATTAAGTGGAAAAACAGTAAAAACAGCTACAGATTTGAAGAAAAATTGGGATTACGCTGCTAAAACTTACAAAAATCACTCTGTTCAGAAACTTATGGGAGGCATCAAAAAGAAAGTCAGAATTTTCTGTAAAACTTAATTTTTTTTTGTTTTTTCCCTTTTAATATGTAATCTTTACAGTCTTAATTTTTCTGAAATATATTGATTTAAATACATTTAAACTTTCTTACATCCTTTTTTTATCAAGAAAGGTGGGCAGATTTTTCCGATAGCATGCCTTATATATATATATTTATTATTATTTGTGTGTGTGTTTATATTGCAATAGTTTGAACATATATAGCATATAAAACTATGCATATAGAATATAGGAATTTTCATGAATGTTGAAATGGATTTTGGAAATGCCCATATAAGTAAAAAAAAAATGACTTGAATTTTTTTAACAAATATTTTAAATACTTTATAATCTGAAAAGTGTTACACTACAGCAAGACCAAAGGAAATTAAAAATCTCACAAACTTGTGTCTTCACTAAAATTGGGATAAGCAAGAAAAAGCTGTCAACTGGCAACTAATATTTTATTTATATAACATATTATGAAAACTTTAAATGGACAATAAAGATCATAAGCAACATACCATGACCTTATATGGGTGTTCTAAGCATTTTTAAACTTTTCAATTAGATTAGTAGCATTTTTGCATCTTTTTTGGATTACCAAATATTTGCTCAGCAGTTACCAGTGTTAACAATTGTTAATTATAACTATGTTAATAATATATAACATATACAACTATGTTAATAAAATAATTAAAGCGTTTGAACTTTAATTAAAGAATATTTTTTGAGCATTCAATTACTTTATATTTAAATATAATTATTTTGGAACTTACATCAAGTAACACGGTTGGCCAAAGAGACCGCCAGGTTTTATGTCGTGTCACTTTAACGAAACTTTTTTTATTTAAGATTATTTGCTTTATAAAAATAGAATCTAGCATTTTTAAAATCCGAAAAAAGTGCTAAGGGTCACAAATGGGGCAAAAAGGTAAATTGAGGGGCCTGATGCCCATTTGACCATTTTAGACGCCCATACAAAAAATATATAAATTAATTAAGAATATGTGTCTTATAAAAATAGAATATAAAGTTTTTAAACTATAAAAGTCGGAACAAAGTCCTAAGGATCACAAAGGACACAAAAAAATAAAATTGAGGGGCCCTACCCCCATTCAAGTATTTTAGACGCCCATTGTAAGAAAAATTTGTTCATTTATGATATTTGTCTTCTACAAATTGACACAAGTGTTTTAAAATCGAAACAAAGAACTAAGACTCACAAAAAAAGCAAAAAGGTTAAATTGATGGGGCCACAAGTCCGTTTAAACATTTTAGATGCCTGTTACAAATAAAGACTTTAGGCAATTTAAAAAAGTAAAACAAAAAAAATATATATATTTACAATATTAATTTATATTTGTTACACAATCCAAATATACATTAATTCATTTTCCTGCACTTTAGAAAGCAACATGTCAAAGTTAAAGATAAATTAAAGTCTTCTTCCATTAAAATTTATTACAGAGGATAACAGCTGTTCTCCATGTCTTCTGCACGTTTATATCTACTCCAGGTAGGTGTAAATTTAGAATGAAAAGCCTCTCCACACTGTTCAGCAAACTTAGCTAGAGCACAGTTATGGTGTTCGACAAAGGGTTTAACATGACACAGCAAGATGTGAAACTTCCAGCTTAAAGAACATTTTTTCCCTAGAGCCTGTGCAAGCTCTTGGGTAAAAAGGAAAGAACTTTTAAACACAGTAAATGCCATTTTATACTCTGTCAAAAGAATTTGACCAAAACAGGAATCTTTTACTATTTTAAAGTCTTTCAAACACTGAATTATAGGTCTCAGTTGAGGAACCTGAGATGCTACTACTTTATCAAGTTCATCCAGGTTTTTCAGGATCTTGTTAGAATTATTTCTGTCCCAACCTCTACCTTGATACCCTCTCTGATAAACACTTTTAGTTTTCAGCCAGTCATCAAATTCAGGCCAAATATCCATAAGTAGACATCCTAAAGTAGATACAACTCCAATCAAAAGATATAATTCAGGAGGTGGTACCAAATGCTGAATTACAGTATCTGGACTCTTCTCTAGATAGCGAATCCTCGGATGTATCACATTCATATATTGTTACATGTTAGATTTTTTAGATTTATTTTCGACACTGTATTTTTCATACCAATAATCAAGACTTCCAAGAGTTCTTAACTTTCCACATTCTCCATTTTTCAAACCTTCACACCACAGGCATTCTCTTTTTCCTGCATGACCTGATAGACCAAACACAGCATTAGCGCACTTTAAATCAAATGCTACAAAAAAATTGACATCTTGTAACTTGAGTTTTTCTAATATAATTCTTAAGTTATGATTTGATTCAGGAACATCTTTAACAATAGCAAGAATTTGACAACGTTGAACACCACTATTCATGTACATTACAGAAGACTTTTTTTTTTCATTTACATTGAAAACATTGATAATAATTTTCAAAAAGGATCCTCCACTATCCATAGAAATTCGTACGAATGCAGAATGAACATCTAAACCACGTTGGTTAATCAAATCCATTGTGAAAGATGATGACTCTTGAACATACACAAGATCCTTTTCAACAATTCCCAATTCATTCTAAAGGAAATCTACCTGTAAAGATGTATAAATAGATAAGTGTCATTATTTTGTCACATTTATATAGTGTCATTATATTGTATATAAAAATTACTAAGAAAACTTAAAGATTAAAAACACAAAATATTTATGTAAATTATTCAAAATCTAATTCGAATATCATTCAACTTTAAATTAGCTTCACTATTTTACAAATAATATTGTACATATATTGATGGTTACACATTGTATAAGTACATTTTGTAATGAATAAACATGTTTAGCCATAACAAATAATACTTATATAAAAAATACACACTTGTTTGGCTAGGACATTTTTTTTTAATGGCATTTTATATATTTATATGGCTTATGGAAGAGTTAAAGCAACTTTTTTTACAACCAAATGTCTTTCCTGGTGTTAGACTGTTATGAAAATTAGGAATATATTTTACAACCAATAGGAAGATTAGTATTCAAAGTAATAAGCCAAAAATTAATTGTTTGGTCTTTTTATTAGAAAGCTCTAATACGACTTGAAGTTCCTTTATAACTTGTAAGGATACTTGTTTTACTGATCTTCTATTTACCTTGTTAGAAGGACATCCTAAAGTTACATCCAACGGGTTTCCCCCAGTCGATAAAGAAAATGTTGTCCCTGTTGAAATGCAGTCTGCACTCATTTTATTTTGTATTATACCTGAAGCAACTTGTTCAGCTTGAATGCTCCCTAGACTTGTGGATAGAAAAATCAAGTTTTTTACAGCAGGTGATGAAGAACAGTTGTGGGCATGTCCTGCAGTTATATCTTTTTCTGCCAATAATTCAAAGCATGAGCTTTGAATTATTGGCAGAAAAAGATATAACTGGTTCGGTTTCACTAATTGGGAGCATTCTATTTAAATTTCTGGTCAACATTTTCCATTCGACCTTTAAAAGTGAAATACAAAATTATATAAATATAAGTGCTTCATTACAATTTAGAATTTGCTATAAATAGTAAAGGTATATCTTTTTTAATAATAATAAAAATAAAAACACGTAATAATGTTATTTTCGTTTTTAACATTTTTTTAATTATTATTAAAACGTATTTTTTTAAGACTATTGATTTCTATATAGATGGTATCTATATCTAAAGAAATTAATATTATCAATCTTAAAACTTAATAGCTTAAAAAAACTTGACAGAAATAATGAGTTTAAAATATAGTTTTACATTCTACCTTTGATACTTTCTCTCCCCACGAGCTTCTGGGTGTATTACCGGACTTGATCATGTAAAGATTTCTTCTACAACTGGAACAAACTACAGTTGGGTAACTGCTAATTTCCAGGGAATAACCGGGATATATATACAGCTTCATCAAATCTTCTATTATTGAATTTACAGGAGATAAAGACCTTGCTCCAAAAAATTCCCAGCAGCAACAACATGTTGCATTCCATTGAAAAGAAGCAGTTGACATGCTAACACCAGCCATTAAAATTTTTTGAAATCAATGTGAATTATATCCAAAAAAAATGCAAACTTAATATAATAATTTATTGAAATCAATGTGAATTATATCCAAAAAAAATGCAAACTTTATATAATAATTTATTGAAATCAATGTGAATTATATCCAAAAAAAATGCAAACTTAATATAATACCTTAACAAAAGTAAAAAATGTTAATAAAAAAAAAGTTAAAATACTTAATCTTAAGAAAACTTTAAATTGCTATCTTAAAAAAAAGCTAATGCAAAATTCCTTTTATATAAAGTTACTAGATCGGCAAAAATTAACAAAAAACAATTTAAAAATCTTTTAGTTATGCAGCCTGGATTTTATTTTCTCATTAAAAGATTTACCTTAAAAAGTTGCTTATTTTATTATTATTAATTTATGTTGACATATAAATAGAAAATAGAAAGCGGCTATTATTTTCATTATTTAAAAAATATTTTAATATTTAAATTCTTCTAATAAATTTGTAAGTCATTAATTTAAAATTAATGTTAATAAAAACCAGGTATTTTAAATGTTGTAAGAAGTTCAGTTAAATTATGTAAGTTGCAAAAAAGATATTCAAAAAGATGTCGAATTTCATCATTTGAATATATAAATTTTTTGTTTATGAATGTAAAAAATAGAGAACTTTCCATTAAATTTCAAGCGTATGTTTCTATACAATTTTTAATCAGAATAAAATTCGTTATTATAATCATTTATAAAAATATGAAACTAAAAACTTTTGCATTGCCCTTTTCTTGCCCTTTTTTAACCCTTTGCACCGTATTCGGATTTTAAAAAACCCTTTTTTTATAAGTAAACTACTAATACTCTAAAATAAAACAAAATTTGTATGAGTGACACGACATAAAACCTGGCAGTCTCTTTGGCCAACCGTGGTAAAAGTTCTCTTACAATCTTACAGTTCTCATATATTGCTCAATTTGTGCTCAAAAACAAGTAAAAAATGAATGTTTTTCAATTTAGATTTTTTGGTAAAATTAAATTTGCTTATGATTGAATTCTATTAAATTAATAGATTTGTTATTGTAATAAACTAACATATATTGAGTTTTTTTTCAAACTAGCATATATTTGAGAGTTATTTTTCAAACTAACATATATTTGAGAAAGTTTTTATTTCAAACTACCATATATTTAAGAGTTTTTTTCTAAACAAGCATATTTTTGAAAGATTTTTCAAACTGACATATTTGAGAGTTTTTTTTAAATTAGCATATATTTTAGAGAGATAATGATTACAAGATATTTGAGAGATATGCAATTTTTCTTTACATGCACACGTTGTTGAAATCATTTAAAAAGTTTTATTTTATTGTTTTACATTTTAACTTTAATTTTGAATGCAGAAATTATATGCATGCTAAGATTATCTGTAAAATTGTTCAGCTATAAAGTTCTGAAGTTTATCTGTGTGTAAGATTATTTACCTGTAAAGTTCTGAAGAGTTTATCTGTGTGTAAAGTTTAGCGTGTGTGGAATGTAAAAAATAAAAGATTCCCAATTTATATATTCAGTTTGTAATATTTAAAAAAAAAAAATTTTTAAAACAGAAAATTAAGTATTAGATTAAGCTTAAAAACTTTTATATTAACATTGATTGAAATAATTCTGAAATAAATATTAGCTATTAAAGTTAATTATAAATTGTGTATGAAGCATTGAAGCATTGTTTGCAACATGAAAATTTTTTAAAGATAATTTAAGAAATACTTGAAACTTTAACTATAAATTCTTTTTTTATTTCATAATTATATTCTAAAGATTGTTAAAGGTTATCTGAAAAAAACAAATCAAAAATTAAACATTACCTCAGTAATTTTTTGTTTGTTTTCTTCTTGTAAATATAAGATTTCTTTTAAATTTGAACTGTTTAAGCTTTGAATATTTTCAAAAGAGTTAACCAACTCCTTGTAGTCCATTTTGCACTTTTCATAGTCAACTTTACAGCTTTCTTTTTCCTATTTATAATTTTTATTATCAAACTTTACACTAAAATAAAACAAATATCAACAAAGATAAAATGAAAATGAAAAAAATAAAAAACCTTTAAAGTATCTTTGTATTTTATTTCATTTGTACTGAGATGAAATTCCAAACTTTTTACTTCTTCTGATAGTATACATATTTCATTTTTGAAAGAAGCCTCTTGAGATTTTCTTGCATTCTCTTCATGTTCAAACTTCAATTTGAAACTAAAATACACAGTATTAAAGTCATTACACTATCCATGTTAAATTGCACAAATCTGTGTATCTCTTAATCATTGCAAACCTTTCAAAACCAATTGTTACTTTTTGCACCTCAGCCTTGAGAAATTCATTATCTTTAAGAGCAACTTCATTTTCTCTATTCAAGATGCTAATTTCCTATCAAAAAAAACTTCAAACTATGCAAACAAATTACAAAAAAATTAGAGATTCTTTTTATAAAAATTTATTTTATAAAAAGAAAGGCTGTCAAAAATGTAATTGTAAAATCATATATTTTTTTAGAACTTACTTTCAACAAAGCTGCAGGGAACCTTTATTGAGAAATTGAGAGAATTAGGAAGTGGAAATTGAAAGAAAACTTTTAAAATTGAGAACTTTTTAAATTTAGACAGAACTGGGAAGTAGAGAAGAAAGTTAAAAAGCAAATAATAATAATAGTAAAAAAGGATTAACAAAAGACTTAAAAACTGTATGTATTCTTTACAAGGACAGATAAGAAGTTTATAGAGGTAAAAAAGAGGTTTAAAAAAAACAAAAAAACAAGCTAAATAAAGAAAGCAGACAACTTTGCAAAAGATTTCCTTTCTATTGGTGATCATTTTATAACCATTACAAATATTCATTTAATTTTTATATTTTCATAGTCATTATAAATATGAGTGGGATTACACCAAATTACACCCTGGCATATAACATTGAGGTAATAATGAATCAAATCTTTAACAAAGCAACAATATTTTTTGAATGTCTTAATTATTACTAGTTTCCAACCATCATGTCATCAGGTCTTAATACACTATTAAGAAGAAATAATATATTAACATTAAAATGTACAAAATCATTAATAAATCATGAAAAAAATAAATGAAAAACATAAAAAAAAACTAATACTGCTTTTAAGATGTCAACTTGGTTTTGAAATGCTAAAATTTCTTTTTGTAAATCATTTAAATCTTTCTCTAGTCTTGTTTTTTCAAGTTTAAGATTTTCTGCAGATTCTTCTGCTTGAGTTTTTAACACTTTAGTAGCCTCAAATTGATTGTGGACCTTGGTTATAATCTAGTTAAATTGAAAAACATAATGCAGTATACTTTTCTCTAAATTATATTTTTTTTAAACTGAAAACTATTTAAAAAAAAACTAAATTATTTTAAAATTAGTTATGCAAATTTATTTCATTAATTAAAGCATTAATTAAACCTTTAAAGCAGCATCTTCTCCACAATGCAAACTAATGACATCATCAATTTGATCCTTACTTATATCTGCTTTAAACAAATTTGCTACCTCATTAATGAATACTTGCCACATATCATGTAACTGTTTTTCTGAATTAAATTCATTCTTTTTTAACAAAGTTTCTAAATAATCTTTTTTACGAGATTCATCTTCCAGTTTTTTCTCTAAATTTTGAATTTTCAAGATATATTCTTTTTTACTATTTAAACTAATATGACTCTCTTGAATTTGATCTTTAATATCTCTCATTAACTCCTCAAACTTTTGTTCAGATTTTGCATTTATATTTTGTAAAACTAACAATTCTTTCTCTTGTACTGCAATGGTTTCATTTCTTTTGTTTAACTCATATGTAAGATTGTTTATTTCTAATTTCAGCATCTTATTTTGCTCTTCTAGGTTTGCTATTTTATGAGTAAAGTCGTTAGTTGTATTAAAATATTTGTATAACTTTTCTTCTTGAACCTTGCATTTTTCTAACAACATATCATTCTCAGACTTTAAGGCATCCAGCTCTGATTGATTTGACAGAAGAAGATTTTTTTCAATTTCTTTAGTCTGTTCCTGTAGTTGCTTTATTCTGAAATCAGAATCTACTTGAATAAACATTTTTTCTTTTTCTAAAGCATTCAAGTCATCATTTAATTTTTGGTGATTTAGTTTTAATTTAACTAGCTCAGAATGTACAGCCATAAGCATGTCAATAAATTCTTCTAAAGGATGACTGTACACTTTTGAAATATTTTCTGGCTTATATCCATTGTCCCAGTCTCTTAACAAGACATCTATCATATTTATGTGATTTTTCAGAAGCAAAAAAAGATCTGAAACTACCTAAAATTACAAATTTCTAAATTAATTGATAAGTAATTAAAGTAGTTGATAAAATAATAAAGAAAACAAAATGTTTAAAAGATATCTTATATGATGTTTAAAAGATATCTTATATGAAAAAATTTGTTCATCTTTATTTATGGAAATCATTATATATTTGTTTTACATTTTTACAATTCAAGACTTATGGATCATCATCAGACAATAAAGACTTATGGATAGTCTCATCATCAGACAATAAAGACTATGCCAAAATATTTTCAAAGATTTCTTAAATTTTAAAAAGAAATTACATAAAATATCAATACTAATATATCAAAATAATTTAACAAAATTCTTTAAATTTAAAAATAAACTGAATTAAAAGTTTTTTATGTTTGGATATTCCAGAATCCCCTTTTGAAATCTTGAATAGATTTTTTGTATTGTCAAATATATAATAAAGATAATCTCCATAAAAGAAGATAGATACATATTTTTATGATGCACTATATACCTCTTCATTCAAAGTAAGCAAACTTGATTGTGAACTTGACCTTTTTTTCTCATAAAAAGCTGTTCTAAGAAATAAAAATGTTTTTGATAAGTTTTATGTTTTGATAAGTTTGTATGTATAAAACCAAAATAATTTTAGTTATTCATTTAAAATTCTTTGTAAAACTCTGACATTTTTTTTTTAAAATAATGCATTGTAGAAAAATGTTAGCAATTTCTATAAATATATACTAATACATTTTTTAATAAAATTTTAAGATATTTCTATTGCCAATAAAACTTGATCACTCAAAACTATTTTAGGATTTTATTTAAGAATACTGTTTTTGCCAAAACTCATTGATTTTTATTCATTCATTATCTCATCAGCATTATTTTAAATTTATGAACAAAAAATATGTTTAAATACAAATATGAATGATTCACTTAATAAAAATAATGGAAAAAATATTTAATGTAAAAAATACCTGGAAAATGAAGGCCAACTTCTATCCAAATCATAACCTTTATAAGGAAGATTAAATGGTATAGAATTTAAATCATAAAGAGAATTTATCAAAGAGCCAAAAAGAGTTTTGTTTTGGAAAATTGAGCCAGCTTCAAAATAATCTCTAAATATAGCAAACAATTGTCCAGTATGAGTTTAAGTTTTAATAAAATTTAAATTTGATTAAAATACAAATAAATAAATTTAAAAAATATAACGGTTTATACAGTAAAAACTTTTTAAAATTTATTCAATAAAATTATACATTAGTTAAGACAAATTTAACTGATACTTTCTAGCTGTAACAGTAAAAAAAACAAATGTAAGAGTCAAAAAATAACTAAAAAACTTTTACTTTAATTTCAACTTTATAATCAATTCAACATAATTATGTATCAATGAAGATAATAAACAAAGTTTTGATTTAATCTTTTTATTCTATTTGATTTTATCAAATAAATTAAAAATATTGCAAATACTTAAATAAATTACAAAGACAAGAGTGCTTTAAATATTCCAAATCCAATACCATTGATCTACTGTATCTGTGTCAATCTTGGAATGTTTACTATATTTTTATAAATTTTACAAAAGTTTAGCAACGCTTTGATGTTGCCTCAGACACTGAATATCTGATTGCATATATATTGTCTAGCTTCCATTGCCAAAAGTCGCCCAACTAAAGCAGGTAGTACCATACACAGTTTTTAACATTGTTTTTATAATTTCTTAGATTTCACATTAATATACAAATGTAAAATGTAAATAATTTTAGCAATTAAACCTAATAACAGGTAATTTTTTCATTACACCAAGCCTTCCCGGGAAGCGCGTGCGGTCACACGCTTGTTCATCCATGTTCAAAGTAGTTTTCCTAGACACACTGACCACAGCAGTTCGCAACTTTTAATTTATAAAGCATTTCAATAATTTGCTGCAAAAAGCTAAACTTATCTACTGAGGAAAATTAGGTTGTTGCTACTGCTATTTATTCAAAAAATGGTTGCTGAGTCAGCGCTGGATTTATGTAACTACGCATATGGTTGTAAAATGGAATTAAATTAAACTCCGTAGTATCCATAATATTTTTAAGTTTCCTGATTACCCCATCCGTATTTTGAGGCATTTCTCCCTGTTTGTAAGTATGTTTTAAAAAAGAAAAAAAATCTTCTATTGGATTAAGCTGTGACATGTATGTTAGCAGATACTTAACAGCTATGCCTGAGAAGCTAGTGTTGGCCTAACAGAAAGACTCCAGTGGAATTTACAATTGTCAATAACAAGCATCGGCGCTTCCACATCTGCATTCCTGATCACTGGTGACAACATTGTAGTAATGAAAGTACAAAATAAATCTACATTCCAGCCTCCTATTTCTATTTCATAAGCCAGTACTCCCATTGTTAAAACAGCACAAATCAAATTAACATTGGTATAATAATGCCATATAAGGGTTATATGCATTTGTCAAAGGCTTCCTACATAAGTTCTTTTTTTATGGTGATTCAAATACAGTTTCAATTGCAAACAAAATTTACTTAAATAGACATTCTTTTATTTTAAATTTTGTTTCTTTTCCATCATCTAAAAAACATCAGATTTTATCAAATACACTATACTGTTTCTCACCTTTAACTTGAATATAAATTTCAGTTGTTTTTTTATATCAATTATCACAAAAATCATGACAATTGACATGGTTGACAGTAAATTATATTATCCTGACTAATATAATTAACAGTTAATTATCCTTTACTTAGTTGGCAATTATTTATATTTTTCTGATTCATATAGTCAGCAGTTATTAAAATCATCTATATAATCATGAACAATATATTAACATTACTCAACTATAGATTAACATTATTCAACAATTTATTAACATTATTCAACTGTATATCAATATTAATCAACTATATATTAACATTATTCAACTATATACTAACATTATTCAATTATATACTAACATTATTCAACTATATATCAAGATTATTCAATTATATATTAACATTATTCAACTATATACTAACATTAATCAACTATATATCAACATTATTCAACTATATATCAACATAATTCAACTATACATTAACATTAATCAACTGTATATTAACATTATTAAATTATATATTAACATTATTCAATTATCAACATTCACCATATTTAGTAACTACAACATTACATGCATTTTGTATTTTAAAAAACAAATAGTTTTAAATTAATTTTTAGAAAAAGTTTTATTCTATACTTAATAAATTTTTCATTGATGATGCAACGCTGAAGCATGTCTGCCAAACACTTCTCCATTAAAGCTTGTCTAATAAAAGCCCTTCCTTTACCTTGGTAAGTTCTAAACTAAATTTAAAATTAAAAGAAATTTTATTTTATAAATTTAAAAAAATTATTTCTTAAGTTAAATTTATAATAAAAAAAAATTACATCAGAAATAGAATTGATAAAACGAATAATTTCTTCCTTGGGCAAACTTTCACTAAGAAAATTCCAAAAATCTTTCTTTGCGCCAGTAAAACTATACTTTTCTTAAAATATGAAAATATGTTAAGAACACACATTAATCAAAAATATTTATTATATTACAACAACAACATCATCAACAACAACAACAACAATGTATATTCTAAAATAAAAGTTTACATTTCATGGTTGTTTACTAATAGTACAAGTACTAATCTAAGGTAATAATAATAGCAATCATATAATAATAATAATGTAAAGTAAACAAAGACGATTATAGTAATATCAATAATACTATTAAATATAATAATGACAATAATAATGATTATATTAGTAATTATAATAACAACAACAACAATAATAATAATAATAATAACAATAACAATAATAATAACAATAATAATAATAGTAATAATTACAATAAAAATAACAACAACAACAATAATAATAATAATAATAACAATAAAATTAACAATAATAATAACAATAACAATAATATTTACAAATATCACACATAAATATTAAACAATTTTAATAAGTAAAAATGACAGTAATAAAAATGTAAATAAAATGTAAGTAATATTAACATCACATATAATAATAATACATTAGTATAACAATAGTAATAATAATCTATCATAAGCCTAAAATTTTAATTAAAGTATTTTTCTATCGAATGGTCAAAAAGATTCAAATTGTGAAATTGAGTTAAAATGAAAAGGTAAACTATTCCACAATTTTACACATTGGTTTGTAATAAAATTATTACCGTATTTTACCGAACAGCGATTTGGGATAGATAATTTATGTTACTCAAAGATCGAAGGTAATAACGAGAACTTTTTTTAGTGGTAAAAAAATCGGAGAATGACAGAGGGAGGTTTACTTGTTTATGATTCCATACAAATAGACAATTTAATAGATAACCAAGATCACATAATTTTGGAAAGATTTCTTGGCCACTTAGCCTAAAGTTTAGGTTTTTATACATTTTAGATTGATTTGATTTGAAAATAATGAGTTCAGTTTTGTTAGTATTAAGACTTGGTTTTTTAGAGTGCAGCCATTGAAGTTAGATAAATCATGATTAATATGTTTGTTAATTTTTTTTAATGATTTGTTTGTTATGAGTAAGTTGGTGTTGTCAGCAAAATGGTAAGCCGTTGAAAATTTTAGAGAGATATTAAGATCATTTATAAAAATAAAGAAAAGCAATGGTCCTAATACAGAACCTTGGGGTACACCCGTGGAGCATTTTATTGGAAAAGAATTGGCATCATTGATGGAGACAAATTGCGATCTATTAAAATGATATGATGAAAACCATCAGAGAGTATAACCTCGAACACTGTAGTGTTCGTAAATTGGAACATTACGGTGTTAAGAGGATGGAGTGATCAACAGAATGAAAGGCTTTCTCTAAGTCAAGAAATGTTATATTATATCATTTTATTGTTTATAACTATTCTATAGAAAAGATTTTTATAGTTATTATTTAAGAATTATTAAAGTAAAAAGGTCACAAACAGGATACCTCAGCAAAAAGCTCAAGGAAAAAAAAATACCAAGAATAGATTAGTTTGTATTAGACTTTATTTAAATACCAAAATATAATTTTTGAATAAATTAAAACTGTAGATATATACAAAAATTTTTTATTCATTTTTTATACATAATTATCAATTCATTCAGGGTGTTAGCCAAGAAAAAATTTAGTATTCATCTACAAGTTTTAATTTATTCAAAAATATAATTTTTGAATAAATTAAAACTGTAGATAAATACAAAAATTTTTTAATCATTTTTTATACATAATTATCAATTCATTCAGGGTGTTAGCCAAGAAAAAATTTACTACAGCATTTTTATCCAATATTGAAAATTTAGGTGTGGCTAACCAAAAATGCAAAAAAAAAAAAAAAGCATTGATCTTTTTGTTCATTGCAAAAATTAATAGCCATGAAAGCATTGATCTTTTTGTTCATTGCAAAAATTAATAGCCATGGCTTGCGTCCACAGTATTTTAACATAATTTATATGATTTAAGGTTACATATAAGTAGAAAAATTTTTTAGATACATAAATATCTTTGGAATGATTTTTTTTTTGTTAGTTATTTTCATAACAGGAATATATTTATATCTTATAAATGATAAACTATAATTATTAAACTTGTTTCTTTTTCTTAAGTTTTTTCATATTTAAATCGCTTCTCTTCTTTGTGTGATATAGTAGAGAGAAAACAAGAACAAAAGGCAATTATTTGCAATTAAAATTTGAATGAATAAATTTGATACTATGATCTATTTTAATTGTACATTACTATACATACAAATACAGTTTTATAAAGTTTATGTTTATTTACATATATTGTCTTCTTTTATATTTATTTTCCCATAACACTCACGTCTATCTTACATAACACCAATTAAAAAAAGACTTTCAACTATTTTTATACTGATAACTCTCACTATCAAGACATACTACCACAGTGGTCACACACACGTACACTATAGTAATCACACACACGTACACTACAGTAATCACACACACGTACACTACAGTAATCACACACACGTACACTACAGTAATCACACATGCGTACACTACAGTAATCACACACACGTACACTACATTGACTACTTACATTACACACATAGCTTTAAGAACTCAAAACAGTTCACAACTCTTATTGACTCTGACAAACCACTGCACTTAATAGACACTCATGTCAATAAATTACTTACTATTGTTTGCAAGTTGTACTGAACCTAGCTAAGTGTCCTCTGGTCTCAGTGTCAATTCAGGAGTCTGTGGCAATTGTCCTGACTGGATACTCTGAGAATAGTCCTTTTGGGATAACACAATGGGATACCTTAAAAAGATACCCTGGTGTAGACCCAGAGTGGAACTTCTTTTGGGATGCTAGTCTCGGATGAAAGCTGGAGGTCTTCATGTGTTCATACTGCACCATAAGGCACAAATCCATACTGTACTCGAGACATTCATGACACATATATCTATAATGTATGTTTATCACCCTAATAATACAAACCACATAGTGACTACTTATAAAACGAATAATTCTACTCCATTACCAGTTCTATCCACATGTCACATTTACACTAGACACTAATAACAATTTAATAGCACAACAACTAATGACTTTCATTGACTATTGTTTACTATTCTTATTTATTTTTTACTACATTTTACTTATATCAGTTTTAAATATTTTTCCACTTTGAGGCTCTTTGTTTTCCACTGGACATCTGTCCTTTTGTACTTTTATCTCACTCTGCTAAACTCTTTTTAACTTATTATTCATCCCTAAGGGGTTCACTGCTCGGTGCAGCTTCACTAAAATGCATTGCATTTACAAAAATTATATTTATTTTCATCTTTAAATTATAATGTAAAAAAAAAAATGCTTAATAGTATTATATGAAATTTTTTTTCATATAACTTTTTAAATAACTTTTTAATTGACAACTGTCGACAAAAACATTATTGTATGGAATGTTTTTGAATATTTAAGTTTTTAAATACTAGAGATTTTAAAAGCTGTAAAATACTTAAAAAAATACTTAAAAAAAATTTTTGAACTTTTTTACATAGATATTTGTATTTTTGTTAATCTAACTTTTATTGTAATTTTTATAATTAAATAAATTTTTTGTGTAAACTTTAAATAAATTTACAGTGGTTTAAATTTGCATTAAATATTGCTTTAAAATATTTTCAGCAATAATTAATAAAAAATTTTTTTTTTGAGTTTTTTGTTGTTGTCATTTTCGGTGTACTTTGCCAGCAAATTTAGTTAATCGAAAGTATTTCTAAATCCTTTAATATAAAAACATTAACTTATTTTAAAGTATTTTATTATTTTTAATATGCAATGTTTTTTATAACTTTCCTAACTTAAGATAAACAGCAAAAATGTAAATAAAGAGTTTTTGAAAAGTAAGAATACAAAAATTTATAATAAAAAATAAATTAAAATAATTTATTAAACATATTTAAAATCTAAACTAGAGAATAACTGACGTCAATTAAAAAATACTTTCTTTTTTTTTCTTACTTTTGAATGATCTTGTTTGTTAATGATAACGCTTTTTATTACATTAAAAAAAAATCAATCAACTTAATCCTGATATAAGATTCTTTTTTAAATTATGATCTTTAGAAATTCTGCATTATATGCAGTTCCATCAGGCTGGCTAACACCCATTACATATAAATAAGCAAACCATGATGAATGATGTTATTTTAGCCACGGCTTTAGGCTGGGTAAATAAAAAAGAGCAATTACTTTCAACATTTTTAGAGTAATTGCTTAACTTTACGTGAATAAAAATTTTAAACGATTTCTTTTTTTGCACAAAAGCTTTTAATATGAGCAATTATACGTACATAAGAAAAGTGTGTGAAAAAAAAGCTATAACTCAAAAAATGGCAAGCAATTGCTTCTAATTTTATGAGCACCTATAATAATTGCTTTTTGTTTTACTTTTGATAATTGGACATTTATCATATTGTTTGCTACTTTATTCTGCGATTCATATTTATTCAGTATCAGAAAAAAGCGACAAAATTAGATTGTATTTCTCAAATCAACTCTTTAAACAAATTTTTAAACCAGGATTAAAAATTAATAAACAAGTGTCTTTTTCAATTGATTTTTAATATAATAAATACAATTTTGAATGTAAAAATTAATATAATATAAAACTAAAAGATATATTCATTTTGTATAGTGACTAAAAGGAAGCAACTAAATATACATATTCTTAATTCTTTTACCCAAACAAAAGATGCCCTTTATTTTCAATAACTGCCTTGCATCTTTTCTGATTGATATGAGGTTGTCAATTACAGTAACGCCTATTGATTTTTACATACTCTTAACTTCTTTAAACAAATCTGCTGTATTTGAAAACTATTTCCCACAAATTCTCTATGGGGTTGAGGTCTGGAGATTGGGCTGGCCATTTTAATACATTAAGTTTTTAGGTTGCAAACCAGTTTTTTACAAGCTTTGAGGTATGCTTAGGATCATTATATA